TCGCATTAAAATATCAAATATGTCGATATTTATTAAGAATTTTTTTTCTTTTGCAGAATGTTTTTCGTTGTAGCTATCTCTCTCATTGGCATTGCATCAGCAATACCAAGTAAGTATATTTTAAAATATTTCCATCGAAAAACATAATATTTATTTAGTATTACTCATTTTCAGAAGTTGTATATACTTCTCAGAAACATTATAAGTTTTAAAATAGATTTCTTATAACTAAAAAATATGCTTATATTTATTGATATAATACAAATCATTGAATTCTTTTTAATGGAATTAAAATTTGATAACTGATACATAATTATAAATATTCTTCAAGAAAAGAAAAATTTGATTCCAAATTATCTAAAAAAACCAATAAAAGAAGATTTTTGTAAATCTATGGAATTTAGCGTGATAATTAAATCATTAAACTGAAAATTTTCATAGAGATTTTTTTGGTATTTAGTTTTCAGCACAAGGCTCCTTTTTATTAAGGCTGTTTTCGGCAAAAGTACGAGAACTTGAACTAAACGCGAAGCACATTTTCACACAGAAGAAAAGTGCTTTAATTTTCATGGAAATTTGCAACATTATAACTCATACATCTGTTAACAATACAGTGTTTTTAAAAATTTCAAAATATTCCATGAATGCTTTTTTTTTTTTTTCATTTGAATATGTGAAGGGACAGCTCATTTAACATTGCGGTATAGGAGAAAAACGAGAAACACATTTTATGCCAGAAAAAATGGATCAGTTCGATTAAAAATGGGAAGTATGATAAAAAAATCCTGCTCTTTAAGGGATAGCCAAATTATAATATTAATTTGTCATTACTTTTTCATCTGAAAAATTTTCCAATTTCGGATCCTATTCTTTAACATTAACGGAAGACAGCCTTAAAGCAATTAGCGTGGATCTATGTGTACTTAAGCAAGTCTGAAAATAATATGTACAGGGTGTATATGTACTTATATATATATATATGTTAGTACTTATATATATATATATGTAGGTATATATATTTAATGTGTACAGGGTTACTACAACCGACATTCAATAAGAACGCGCAAATTGTTTTCTTAGTATTTTACAAGTGGAATATAAAAAAAATCACACATACAAAATATTCAGTTTAAATTGTTAATACAGTAAAATCTGGCGTATAACGCGCATCTATACTTTCAAGCCGCATTTTTTTAAATTTGTTGGTGTATTCTCTGTACTATGTGTGCACTAACTTTTTATGAAATAAAATGAAATGTATGAATATAATTTTCTTATGTTTTGAAGTCATTTGTTTGAGGTATTATCACAAGTTTTTGAAAAAATAGTATACTTATAGAAGTACAATCCTTTAAGTCAGTGTTTCTCAGACTGTGGGGCGCGCCCCCCTAGGGAGGCGTAATAACCCTACAAAGGGGCGCGAGCATATTGAAAATTCAAAAATAAAAGATTATTTAAAGAATTATCAATTTACTAGAAGGAAGCAAAACAAAATATATTCTGATATTATAAACAAATAAAATACTTATTTACTCTGATATACTATACTTATACGAGTAAATGGATCAGTAGGGCACAATGTGTTTGATACTAAGTATCAATACTACGCTAAGAACAAGTTTCATAATTTCTATTGGTTTTTTTCCATGGGATTATCATGCACAAAATTTAATATTTTATAATTTGTATGGTTTATAATTAAGGTCGTATTGAAGAATTAGCGTCAACGTATTATATATTATTACTGCATTCAATATATTGTTATTGTATTGGGAGGGGGGACGCGATGAAAATTATAATTGAAAATTGGGTCGAGAATATCGAAAATTTGAGAAGCACTACTGTAAGTTTATGCCATTTCTTTTGAAGAAATAGTATTTGAATTTCTGTAGAAGTCTAAATCTTCTATGTTTATATCTTTTTTATTTATTTATTTATTTTTAAAGCTATTATTTTTATATCCGGCGTATAACACGCACCCGTAAATATCGATCCTTTTGTGTTTAAAGTGCGCGTTATACACCGTATTTTACGGCTCGTATTCGATATTCCCAAAAAAAAAGAAATTTTAATGTAACATTTTACAATACTACTTCATTCTTTAAAACTAAAAATTACCACACGCTGTTCATTTATAAAAGTATATTTTATAAATTCTACAAATGGAATTATTTTTTCATTACATTGCCTCGCCAGAATTATTTTTGTAATAGAAATTTAAGAATAATAATTAAATAAGTGAATTATGAAATAAAGATAAATTTTTATGTAGCACCTAATTTTTACATTCATTTCTCTTCCAGATGAATTATCTGCGGCTTTGGTCAACAAGCCAGATACTTCTCTTCCCCAGAACACAATGATGGGTCAGACCCTTAAGGACCTCGATATCGAGATTTGTCCGGACAATGTCCACCTGTGTCCAGGTACAGCTGAATGCTGCAAGGGAGAAGATGGAAAGTATGATTGCTGCCCCAAAGCATCTGTTCCGATAGCAGGTAGGAGATTTTTGTTCTCTTAGCTTGTTTAATATAAACCCAACTCGATTCAAAGTTCTATTCCTAAAGAATTTGAACCATTTTCTTTAAATGATATTGTTTTCTAGTACAGATACCTGAAAGATATAAAGATACGTTATTCAAATCCACATTGTTTAGACTTTGTTTTTACGGTTTTTGAAAGAAAGAAAACTCTACAGATAACATTTTTCTCATTAATATGCACTTAATCACTTGACATAATTTTCAAAACAAAGTTGAAATAATTTATCAAAATTAAGATATTTTCCATTATAGATTTTTCTAAAATTAATTAAATATAGTTGAGTCCCGACGTAACGATCCCCTATTTAACGAATTTCTTTATTTAACGAACTTTTCTTTATCTCTGATTAAAATGAAGGCAAAAAACCCGATTTAACAAATAAAATACCACGAATTAATAAATCATTTCTCAACAGCCGGAATTTTTTTTTCTCATTTTATTTTGGATAAGTAAACCTTGGATTTTTTTTTTCATATCCTTTTTATCCAGAACCGAAAAAGACTTTTCTCGTGGGCAGCAAATTGTGATGGGTAAGAGTGCAGCTTATTATTAGACAGGTGCAGATGGATCATGAGTGTAACCTATTGAGTGAGTTTTCAATAAGAGAGGAAACTTTTCTGAAGCTCCTATCAAAACTCTTACATTTTCTAATGCTTTACATGGTTTGGAAAGTGTGTAATATTTCCTTCTCTGCTTAGAGTCAAAGAACTCTTTCGAGTCAGAAATCAAAAATATTGTCAAACATCTATTACTCGGCATTTTAAAATTTTTAAATGACTGGTGCGTAATAATTCGCTGGTCGTAATATTTAGCTGCTGAATAAAAAGTGTGTAATTCCTAAAAATGGATATTTTTTGTGTAGTTGCTTATTAAAGAATTGCCGAAAGGTAAACGCCGAAAAAATTGCATTTTTTGGACCCCGATATTACGAATAGCCCCGAATCAAAGAATAAAACGAAATAGGTCCCGGTTAATTCGTTAAATCGGGGTCTGACTGTATATTATTTTTCAAGGATTTTAAAATATTAAATTGCTTTTTTTCTTAGGGGACTGTTGCCACCAACTGGGATTCATTTGGACTTGCTGTACCTCTCTCGTACCTAAATGCCATTGGTGGGGATGTTGGTGGACATAAGCACATCACATAGAAATGGGAACAGTCATAAAATCTTTCATCATATTTGTCAGTCTTTTTATTAACTTTTGTAATTCAAGACAAAATGTTTTGTTTGATCATTATTAATAAAATACATTTTTTTCCCTTTATATTTAGTTTCCTTTTATTTAAAATTTATAATAAAACTTTCACAAAATTTTTAAGGAGAATATTTTGGTAATTTTTGTGTGTTTTGAGAGAAAAAGAATTTTAAATTGCTTATTTTCTTTATTTTTTTCATTGAATGCATATTGGATTTTTTTTTAACTTCTAAACATCTAAGCATCTAAAAATACAAATTTAGTACATTTTTATTTTCTCTCTGAGTTTAGCATCAAAATGCCTAATTTTGTCAGATACAAAGAATTAAACAAATAAATTATTATCGAGTTTTTAATATTTTAGACAAAATTAAAAGAAATATTTTTAATTGAAATTAGCGTGAAAATTTATTCCAATATTTCTGCAACTATTAGTTTTTACTCAAGCGAATTCCTGTTTAATTATCCTTAAGAGTTTCACTCTTGCTCAAGCACAGTATTTTCCCATAATTTACTTATTGATAATGTAATATGCTCCCACACTGAATTTTTTTGTAATTAATGTGTTTTCTTAATTACATGTTTGTACTTTGTGTATTACAAAACCTTTTTAATACTTCCATATCAATCAACCAGATTTAACAATGTAAAAATATAATTAATCTTTTTTATTACTTAATTTATATATTTCACTAAAAGATTCTTTAAAGCAATTTTTATCTTATTTATAACTCTCTTAAGTAACCATTTTTCTTAAACCTCCCACTTTTTATGGAATGCTCGTTTTAAATCTTCACGATTACAAAAAATCATTGAGTTAACTTCATGAAGAGAAAGTCAGAGTTTATTAATATATTTTATTGAAACAATAAGGTGGGACACCCTCTGTCCGCTTAAGGGAGACCAACCTCCATCGTACAAATTGTATAACTGTTCATACTCATTGCTCAAAATAGAAAACTGCAATTTGCATCAACTTTGTAGTTCTATTTTTTTCCCAATTCCTACTATATTAACTTACACTCTCTCCCTATATATATATATATATATCTTGTTCAAATTTTCAGTCGTTAATAAAGTATTTTCTATTCATCCATTTCAAGTTCAAATACATTTTTTTAAATTTGTAGTGGGTGACAGTTGGTGTTAATACAGTTTTTTTTTTCAAATATTAATTCATTAATTAAATAAAAAAATTAATAAAAAGAAACAAAAATAATAGTTCAACACCATATATAAAAAGGAAAATTGCTCTTTATGTCACTGTAGAGCAATGGATAGCATGTTGGACCTTTAATCCAAAGGTCGTGGATTCGAATCCCACCAGAGATGGCCTGATTTCTGAGAATGTGATTTCTTTTTACTATACTATTTTATTAAAGGAAAATGGAAAACTTCAAGGAAAATCACTTTCTATTTTGCCACTTAATATTGTGATTCTGTCTTATGTATATGCATATTTATATTAATTGTGATTATTTAATAAAAAATAACTAAAATTTAAATTTTTCTTTGTTGACCTATGTAGGAATTGACATTAAAAAAATATTTTTTCATTACTTGTTTTTCTATATATTTAAGCAGGAAAAAAATAAATTTTAAGTCATCCTCTCTTCATTTTAATTTGTACTACAATTTAGTGCCTCTACAAAAACAATAATCCTAATCACGTTTTCCTCTAAATTACACTGAATTTTTATTCCCACTTTGCTTCTTTACATTGATAGAGCCACATGCAATTGTCCATGATTAAATATTGTTTTCTTTGATTTTTAACATAAACCGATTTTTTTAAAACTCTGCCCCTGTGATTTATTATTAGTTATGGCAAATGCCAATCTTAAAGGTAATTGCATACTTTTCAGTACTTTCATGACAATACAGCCTAATTTCAAATTCAGTTTAGTGGATGGCATTCCCGATGAAGTTAGTGATGATAAATATTTAGGAGTATACGGTAGTATAACATTCTCTTGATGATCGCAATCGTTGCCGCCAAGAGAGCAGCCAAATAAATTTATTACAGCATCACGAAAAACTTTTAAATGTAGAGGAAGATAACCTCCTATATAACCTCCTCCTTAACATAAATTACAAAATCTGTTGAGAGATAATTTTTACTAAATATATAAGTTTTGGTGAATTCCAAATTTAAAAAGGTGTGTAACAGTAATTTTTTGGTTAAAAAGATTTTTCTGAAGTAGCAATTTTTTTTTTTCTTTTAGCTAAAAAATATCTTTCTGATTAAATGAATTCCATCTCTTCAATCCTTAAAAATTAAACTAAAATTATTTATCAATGACTTCTGAAACATTCCACTTCATTTATAAAAAGTTTAGCATAGTTTAATTACATCTCATAACTCAAAAAATTTTATTTTTCTACATTTTGAATCCTTGCAAAAATTATTAATTTATTGCTAACCAGTTTCTGAATTTTTAAGTGTAAGCAAGAAGAAATTAAGTAAAATTTTACATGACAACCATATAAATCTTAACCTACCTTAAGAGTTTTTAGGATATACAAGCATTTTTAATATTTTTGCTAATACCTTTATTGAACAACATGTAAAAAAGCAAATATCTTATATTCCGGACAGACCTGAATTTCTAAAACGAAATATATTTATCTTTTACACTTCAATAACACCTCTCTTCGGAGTTGACTTCCACAAATCCCATCTTTAACAGATCTGTACTCAAGAAACGAAACATACTTACCAAATTTCCAAGGCTAAAGGTATATTAACTCAAAAATGGGAATAAACATGTCTGTAAGAATTTAAGTTTCTAGGGGTATAATATGAGGGGTGATCCAAAAAAATTTACAAAACGTTTGAAAAATCATTCATTAACAACAGACACAAGATACAAATGGGAATTAAAAGACATATGTAGCAGTCACTTTTCTACGTAATCACCAAACCTGTTTTGTCATTTATCAAACCACTGGACCAATTTGTGTAACCCGTCTTGGTAATAATCAGCTCCCTGGTCATTCAGCTAGTTCTCAGCAGCTGTAAGATCATCGGTGTTTGAAGTTAATCTTGTTCCGAATAAGTGTTTCTTCGATGCTGGAAAAGGAAATAGTCACTGGGAGCCAAATCGAGGCTGTATGGGGAAGGGTGATTCCAGACCTCCTACCTAAATTTCAGAACAATTTCTGAATCTGGCAAGCTGTATGGGGAGCAGCTCCCTTCCATATTCCAGTTTACCTCTTGATTTCCGCCAGCTTCAAAAGAACGACATCATTTCGCTACTTGTTGTCAACTCATTGCTTCGCCCCCGTACACTTCCCCGATTTGTCTGTCAATGTCAGAAGGGGAAATATTCTTGGCCCATAAGAATCGTACCATGGTTCGCCCCTCCGTACTAGGCCACTTCTCTAGACGTCCTGCCATTACTGTTGCTCTTACGAGTCTGAGTACTCCCACTATCTGCTCGCACAAACAGTGTAAGACAGCAAGTGACATCTGTAGTAAAAATATTCCCATCCACGATTACTGTTGCTAGTTAAACTTTTTTTTTTATCACCCTCGTTGTTCTGGAGATATTGTGTTGAAGGAGTGAGAGAGAGAGTCAGTATTTCGCCTTTTTTAACACGCTTTTATGAGTTTCACTTGTATGTCATGGAATTTTTGAATTCGATTTTTACCCACTTTAAAAGGTCAGATTAATTCGAAATTTTACATACTTGTCAAGGACCGATGACAATACAATAATTTTATAATTTTATTTCATTGTCCTGATCAGGATTCTCAAAAATAAGGATTTTAAGGATTTCGAGATTTGGCGACAAATTCATTATTTCGTCTCCAGATTTGGCGACTAATTGCATAAACCATTTTCAGATTTAGCAACTACTTCCATATGCCATTTCCAGATTTAATGACTAATTCCAAATTTAGAGATTAAAATATTAAGGTGCACCCCTAAAACCGCAAATAGGCTTGTGGTTAATACAAATAAAACAAAAGAGTGTTCTTTATGTGAAAAAGGGTAGGGTGGGTGAGTAGTTTTTCTGAAAATGAAAATAAAAAAAGACTCGTGCATTTGAATAATAATAATTTATGCTCTAACTGCTAAATATTTTTTTATTTTTATTAAGCAATACGTTTAGAAGTGATGATACGAATTAACATTATAGCAATACGTTTAAAAAGTGATAAATTTATGTTCTATCTGCTAAATATTTTTTATTTTTATAAAGCAATATGTTTAGAAGTGATGATACTAATTAACATTATAGAAATACATTTAAAAGGTGATATAGTACGATTGACATTTAATATTTCTTCTTAACACCCTTTTATTAGTTAGACCTGCATCTATAGAGACGGAATTTTTGAAATTTAACGATATGAGACTCATCCGAGGCCCCGTAAAGGAAGAGAATAAATACCCTTCAGACCTATTAATTAATATCCATTGAAAAGCAAGACTAATTCCAGCAGCCACATAATTCCGGCTTCAAATATCAAACTCAAGGATAAATTCAACGAAGAATAAATGATAGTTTTAAAAACTAAAGAAACAGGCTTTTATTGTAAATCGAACTAAAAAATGAAAAATAAATTATAGTTTTAAAAAAACTAAAAAACACGCTTTTAAAAGGAATCGAACCAAAAAGTAAAAAAATAATTCTTATCATAAGAATAAAATAAGTAACGAGAAAATTAATGTCATTGGTGTAAAAGCGTGGGGTGCTCTATATTAATTGTTATAATTTCTTACTAGTTCTATTTCGAAATGCTGAGTTAGTGTAAAAATGTAGTACAAAGCACCCCACACGCTTTGAACACAATGACATTAATTTTCTCGATACTCATTTTATTCTTATATTAAGAATTATTTTTTTACTTTTTAGTTCGATTCACTATGAAAGCGTGTTTTTAGTTTTTTTAAAACTGTAATTCCCTACATATATCGGATATTTCAGGAGAATAGCGAACTCCTCTATTTTCAGGCTAAATTTTTAAAATTTTTATGTATATTATATA